CCATCGGTGCATGCGCCGGCGAGGCAGAACATCCGTCACACGAGAGCCGGCCGCGAGGGGGCAGCGGCGGCGGAGCCGGTTGTGACGCCCGCGATCTGGGCCGGGAAGTTCAGCGACAGAGTGCCGAGGGCAAGGCAGTCATGCCGTGGGAGCAGAGCGCTGCCGAGACGCTGCACGAAGGTTGCAGTCACGGCAGCTGTGATCACGCCCCAGGTCAGGTCGCATGTGGTCGCGGGTGCGCAACTCACGGGGTGGTCAGAGACCGCGACGATTGCACTGGTGGCGGGTGGCCGCCCGTGCGGGACATGCCTGTCCATCGCCGCGCGCGCATCGACAGCTGGCGGCACGCCTGCTAGCACACACCACTGGCACACCTGCTGGCACACACGGCACCATCGACAGCAGGCGGCACACAGCCCGGCGTCCGGGACGGGTCTCGTCGACGAGGGCCCGAGCGGGCGGGGTCGGAACGACGGGCACTGGCGGTCCTATGCCGACAGTAGACGGACACGGGGTGGACATGATCTCTGGACACGGCGACAGAGTTCTGGCGGGCGTTTTCCTGCGCACGGCAGGTGCTGAAGTCCGACTATAGTGTGGGATCTCGCTCAGAAGCGCTCGCAGCATGTCCTTGTCTCGGATCCCAGTAGCCATGCGATCACGGAGCTGCGAGTTGGTGCATTGCTGGCTAAATCCACAGAACTAGACGATTTTGAGCAAGACCACGAAATAATCCTCAAACGCCTCGCTGTCTGCCTGCTGCAGGCGGAAGAATTGGCAACGGTCCAGAATGACGTTTCGCTGCCGACGCAGATCACGCTCCATGCCACGGAAGCTATACTGGACGTCGCGGAGGTGTGTACGTCGACATCCCGGCCGCGACGGAGTGTTGGCGTCCGCTGGTCGTCCAGCACAGCGACGAGTGTGCCGGTTTGGTCCGCCGGCGGGAGGTCGTACAGATCACTGAGCGTGGCGTATTCCTCAAGCTTGTCTTGTTTCGCTGCAGCTTGGTACCCCGGGTAAATCTTTCAATATTTTGAAACTTAATTCACACCTCTACCTGCACTGGCTGCCGAGATATGACCGAAAGCGTAAAAACCATTAAAAATATTAATTCCATCATTCCAACTCGTGTCCGCGTGACATGTGCCACTTGGGTCCTTAACCTTGCCAACAGCCAATGCCCCGTTCGATTCCTTGTTGAGCTGCACAAATTCTGTGTCTCTCCGACCCGTTGCTGCCGAGATATTGCTCCGGGGCTGACCGCGTGTGGGGATCCTCGCAGGAACAGGGTAATGGGGGCCACGGGGCACTGGCCCCTATTTGTCAAGTTGGGAGGGAGGGGCAGCAGTGTTAGCTGCCCCCTCACTTTTTCAGGTTCGGGTTTCGGTTAGCTTACTTTTTAACCAGGTTAAGCATGCATACCTATTTGCCTTGTACACCAGCCATGTTCCTCGAACGTCACTGGAAACAAGTGCTTCATGTGGTAAATGGCAGCATCTTATCCTTTAAAGCACGGCGATAGAAATCGTGCTCACGAGCGGCAGATAGACACGACTCGCCCATTACATTTTTCCCGGCCTCGATCGCTGCATGGCTTATGGAATGACAGGATTTAAATAGCGTTATTAAGACGTAACGAATGTCAATGCCACTTAGACGTACTCTCCCCGAAACACTCCCTTTATTTTCGCCGGCGTGTAGTTTAGAAGTTAAAGAGATTTAGGTCTAAAAAAGGCACGGCTGCAAGCTGCACCAAAAGATTGTTAAGATGGCTATATAAGTTGAGAACCCCATACAAATGTGAAGCGTTCCGTTTTACAAGTAAACTATATCCGGCGATGTGGGGGGGGGGGGCGAATGTCGCCATCAGGAGGCATTTGTCAACCCTGTGCCTCGGTTGACAACGCCTGGCCACGCCCCTGCTTATATGCAACAGCAGATCCAGTCGGCTACGTTGAATGAAGGACAAACGAATGTGCGGGGAACCAATGTATGTTTTAGGAGGGCAGCTTCCAGAATGCTTATTTTCTTCTGTGGTGCGTTGTAAGAAGATATCATTCGGAAACCTATACTGTAACAGATGTCAAACATATGTTCCACACGTTAAGAAGTAGCAATGCTGATCCGTAAGCATGCAGCAGTCACACAATTACTTCGCGGTCAGCCATGCGGGGAACAGCCGGGCCAGGGCAGTAGCCGCCGACGGCGGATAGGAGCTGGGCTCATTTCAGAGATCTGGGAGAAGGGTCTTTTTCAGTGACTTTGTTTTTCTAGGATATACTCTGGCTAGATGGGCGTCGTCCTATGCTTTGTTGAACTGGGTGCCGCTGCAACTGTCCAGTGGCATGTGTTGGATTATTGCACCTATCCTGGAGTCTGAAAATGTTAGGTAACGTGCTCATGCTAGCAAGTTGTTGAAACCAGAAGCCATTTTGACTTTTGTGATGCGTTGATACGTGTGAGTTGTTGACCAAGATAATTGTGATCTCCTTAATGATATGATAAGCCTTGTTTTTTTAGCCTTCATGAAAAATTGTATTCCCAACCGGCAGCACTGTGTTAGACATCCCAGCGCCCACTGGCTTAAGATAACTTTTGCACATTTTTCCAATACAAACGTCCTTGATTGGATTGATAAATTTAAGAAACGCGGATCGGCCTGCAGATGCACCTGAGCGAGCCGGACTGGAATGGACCGGATCCTGAAAATTCTATCCGTGAAGTGCCGCAGCGCCAACGCCCGACTGCTTCAGCCTTCGCTACCGGAGAGCACGCCCTCGCGGAGGACCCAAGGACTGGTTTGCAGGACCGGTTAAGTGAGGGGGTGCGGGACGTCGCGGTCGTCGGCGGACGGTGGGACTACCTAGTGCTCCTGTCCAGTGGGTGCATGTACTGCTGAAACTGCGGGTACCTCCCACTCCTGCGACCGCTCGCGACGTTCTCGCAGAGTGGCGGCAGCGGTGAAAACAGCAGCGTCGGTGGCCGCAGCGACTCCGGCGGAGTCACGGCGGCGGTGGTGGCAGCTGCGGCGGCGAGGCCGTGACGGCCCTGGATGTAGGATTCTGGCGTGGCCGTAGTCGCTCCGCCAGGGCCGCAGGCGAGGCGCGGACTGCGGTGATCCTACTGGCCATGACAAGTGTTAACTGTTCTGACCGTTGTAGCGTTGTGTGTAGAGGGCAAACTTGAAGCGGAGCAGTAACAGGCCTAGCCGCGCTGGGCCCGGATGCCGGGGGTCCACTAATCCGGACGACCAGGTGGCCGTATCTAGCCAGGGAAATTGGTTGGAGCTCCCTGCCTGACATGATGAGTGAATAATGCGGTGGCGGAAATAAATCGCATCTCCCCACTGACAAATGGGTGTTTTGGTAGTAATTGGTAAAGCTAGGTGCACGTTTGCACGAAAAACCAGATGTTTTCACCTTATCACCACTGAAACACACTCATTCTTCCACCTTTACTATACCAGCTTTTGTCCTTGTTCTTCACTTATTCCTATCACGTGCGCTAATAGAAAGGAACTAATACAGACGCGAGAGAAGGGCCTCACCTTGAACGGTGCGGATGAGCCATTACGGCAGACCCCTGACTGCCGTGCAACTCGGAAACGTAGCCGGGGCTGTTGTGCTACTGGGAGAAGTGTCCTGACGTGGAGCCATTGAGGGAGGTTTTGGAGACGTGCCTGCCGCACGTCTCATAAGTGTGAGACAGGCCTGCCATCCCTGTCGCCTTCCGGCCTGTCGCGCGGCTTGCTGATTAGTCTTGCTGAAAGTCCATCAACATGTGCTAAATGTCGATCAATGCTGAATTTCATCAACGTGCAATACAACTATGTCATACAGCTCGAAATTGCGTCCGTCAAAGTCGGAGGACAGCGCGGGGCGTCCGGCGGTGGAGACTGAGCCGCCCATCCAATGCCGAGGCGGTCTGCCGAAAGGAATGACTCCCGTAACGTCATCCAGGGGCGCTCGCAGAGAGTAAACAAATCGCATGGCTATTTCCCCCCGCATGTAGGCCTTTGGTCGTGCTCTGCTCTGATTATTTAGAGCTAGGCATATTTTGCAAAGATGGACTTAAAGATGGGTGAACCAAAATAGCATCACGGGGTTCGCATAGTTTCCGTTTTTACAAATAAGAAGAGACCACTTTGCAATGCAGACAAGATAAACTGTTTCCAACAGGAGAAATCACTAGGTTGGCTCACTGATTGTGGATTCTTTGATGAGATGGGCGGGACAAAACCCACTTTGCATTGCTTCCCTTATTAGAACGTCAAATGGTTATTGCCAAATGTTTTGAAATGCGGTCCAGCTCCCTCTCAACTATCGCTTCTGCCCCTTCACCGCAGCCGAATCGGTTCTGTACGGAACGGTTATCCGACTTTTAGAGGCCTTTACGAGCTCGAATGGAACCTCTTGTACAGTTAGGAATAAGAATCTGCTAAATGTTGTATCACTTGTACAGTGACTTCACAGCTAGACCTCCATCGCATGATTGAACTAACCCCAAATTGGCTAATCAGTGGCAAATGAAGGCCAACTCACGTGCTCTGATGCTGATGCCCGCGAGCGGTGTGAAGAAACCATGTAAAGGACATGTCTTTTCCCGCACGTTTCATGTCCCACGTATCCGTCCACGCTTCCAGTAAATTTGAAGGACGCGCGAGCATGACAGCCAAGTGATGCATTGGCACCATGCGCCCGTTACCTGCGGCGTCATGATCACTCGGTCGGGGATGTTACGACACTGAACAGTCTCCAGTAAATTATCATGCGGAGGGCAGAGTCGGCGTTTACTCTAGTGATTGTCAGGACAGCAAAGATGGTATGGGGCCGCCACGTGTCGACTGTTGTTTAAACGACCAATGTGTCGAAAGCATTCGAGATTCAGCGTGCACGACCCGCCAACGACTCAGCAGTTCCAATGTTGGCAGACACCAGCTGTCTTCACCAGTGATATAAAAGACCCCACAGTTGCAGAGGTAGTCAGTCAGTGCACAGCCCAGCTCAGCACAATGAAGCTGGTGAGTACCTCTCCGTTGAAAGCACCAGACGGCGTGGCGACGCGATAAAGCCGAGTGGCGGATCTATCGCTTTCAGGAGGTTTTAGGGAGGACATTCATGTTTCCATCTTTTGCCATGTTCGGACACCTTATTCTCCCTCTTAACTGGGGATGCACTGGTGAGCAAACCATGTTCACTGTGGCGTGCGGACCGCGTCAGAACGGTCTATGCTACAGATTAGATGATTAATCACCTCAAATACGCCTGTGACTTGGGTGAAATGAAGCTCTGGCAAAGAGGACCATGAAGGTGACCATTGTGAGATGAACAGTTTTTGATGGACGCTAGCTTATGCGCCGAAAAAAACCCTGGTGCCAAAAGTCCTAAATCGGTCGGAAATCTGCGGAACTTTGGCTTGTCCTTCGTCTGACCTTAAAGGTCAAGTGATACGGAAAAATAACAGGCGTCGGGTTCGGTTCTTTCCTGCCGCCAGTGACCATGTGAGGTGTTTTCACTGGAAGTGGAGTTTTCCTTTAAATGATCACTAAATCAGCTGCCCAATCATGGATGTTATGCCCGTCCCACTGATTGTCGAAGCCGCAATATGCAGACATTGGGTGACGGCGTCCAGCAAACTGGGACGGCGCCACTGCGCCGTTGCATTGGCGGTGGGCGCGAATGTTATGGGAGCCATACTGAACGAAGTTTGAGCTTTGTATGGGGCAGGATGTCCACCAGTGTTTCTTGAAGAACAGGTTTGGCGTAACGCTATAAACTAGTGCATTTGACTTTACCATAAATGGGCCATTATCGCGCTGCAATTACTCATTCAAACCAGGGCTTGAGAAGGCTTGGAAAATGCTTAGCTTCCACGGCTTGGAAAAGTCCATCATTTCGATCGGAACAATGAAACTTTAGAACTGACGTTTTGATCAGTTTTTTCTCTCAAAATCAGAACTGCGTGTATTGTCCCAGCTGATGTTGGCATGGCGTATTTCTTGCAATGGTTATAAAGAACAGCGCAGCTACCTATATAATTGGATTTATGATTTGTATCAAACCATGTGTCTAGTTGTTTTGGAAATAGGGCAGGCATCATGATCTTGAAGCTATCTCTACAAATGTGGTACTGGCACCACTCAGCTCAGCTCACCCAGTTCGCGAAGTCGGTACTTGTGCACGTGTTTTTAGGCCTGATTCAGTATACCCACGAAACCTCAGCTCCCCAACATGCTAATTGTTTACGAGTCCTGCTACGCGTAAACGACGTGGGTCCCACTTCTCTTGAATGCGCCACAGCCTGTCAGACCGTTGGTCTTCCACTGCAGATCGTGATTTCCTGCCTGGTGGCGTTGGCCATGGCCCGGCCTCAGGACCTGCTGGACGCCTCGCAGCCGTTCAACGGAGACACGGGCTCGGCGCAAGACGCTGGCATCCTCCGCATGGAGAACGTCCAGCGAGAGGACGGCTCCTTCCAGTACGGCTTCGAAACGGTCGACTCTATCGTGCAAGACGTCACCGGCCAGATCAAGCAGATCGGAGAAGAGGTCGGCGTCGTCATGCAGGGCTCCTACTCGTTCATCGCCAAGGACGAGAACGGCGCGGACGTCCCAGTCAGCATCACCTGGACGGCCGACGAGAACGGCTTCCAGGCGCAGGGTGACGCCATCCCAGTGGCCCCCGAAGGTGCCAACCCGGTGGGTGCACAGGCCCCCGAAATTATCGTGGAGTAGTGCCGCTCTCAGCCTGCCTGCTCAGCTTCTTCAGCGCCGTGCCGGGACCCCACCCGGCACCGGCAGTGGCGCCGGATGAGTGATAAACGCCAGCACGGCAGTCGTCCTTCGATCAGTGCCCAATATTCCGGAAAGACAATATATTTGCGATTTTCTCAGCTTCCTAATGATGCAGTGTGTGTCGGTGGTTGCACAAACACTAAAACCCTGGGAATGGAAGGAGGCAGCCCATGGTGAAGTCAACAGCGCTGGACGCTTGGAGCACGTACGCTATTGGCAAGCTGGTGTGGGGGCAGAAACTTGTTTTTACCATGGAAAGTCTTGAAAAATGCACTTATTCAAAAATGGTAAATGGCCAATCGCCATCTTTTTTCACACAGATCCCCGGAACGGTAAATGGTATTCAATCAGGCCCACTGGTTTGGTGTTCAATTGATCCAATCGGTTTGTGCCTAATCGGTTATTCTAGACTAGGGTAAGACTGAACTGGATTTGAACTGGAAAATACTCATTTTCAGCCGCGCGGCGCACGATACAGTGAGGCGTCGGCTGATAGAAGTGTGCCCAAAATATAACCTGACACCAACAATATTGACCAGCGATATATCACCAATGAGATTTTACGTCGATAAAGCGAGCACGTACATGCAAACACTGCTCATTTTGTCACGTCATCGTGTCAGTTCCAGCACCGCGAGCCCCAATTCGTTGTCACTAGCGAAAAAATGTGATAACAGCTGATTAAATCTACCCGTAAGTGGCCCTCGGCTAAAATGGCATACCATTGGTCGCGATGCCACCAGCCTCTATGCTACTGGCCGGAGGACCCGGTCCAGCGACGAGCTGGCAAATGCTTACAAAACTAAAACGCCTCCAGAGAAAAGTTTGCCCATTCTTGAGATAAGGCGTGGTGAGGGACACGCTTTTCTCCTATTTTCTGCTTATTCTATATTCAGCACCAACTTTGGTTTTCATCTAAGAATGTCTGCCTGAACAAGGCTACGCTTTTCCAACGCATGACCAACAGATGCTAAGCCAGGGCTTTGGATTACATCCAGGCAGCCTCCACTTAAGTACATTGATAGCACAATCTCTCTTGGTCATACGTTTCCTACCACTCTACAGGGTCCACGTGTTAAAGGCTTGCTTTTCACGGAGGTATGCATCGAATTTTATCAAGAGCCCAGCGCGAAAAGAAACATTGCTTAATCGTCGTGCGTTGATCCCCTTACTGTTTTTGATCCTAGAAAAGCCAAACTCTCACGCGTAACGTGTCTAAGTTTTCATGTAGAGCACGCTGCGAATTTTCCGATTTTGAAGGTATGCTCAGTAGTCTCGGAAGCTCAATTGGTAACATGTTTGAACCATGGTGGCAACTGAAACACTGGAGTGGAACCAGATGCTTGGCAGTGTGGTCGGGAACTCGAAGCCGGGATGTTACAGAGTTTTTTTTTCGTCCAGTTCCCTTAAAAATACTGCATTGCTTGCTAACAGCCAATACCTGCTGTCACTGTAATGCAGTATACAATTTCTTGATAGCCTCTTGCAATTTTTTTAGACAAAACCTAAGTCCTTGAGAGCTACTCGAAAAGTTATAGACGTAACATTTATGTAATTCCTAAACGGTTTGACCATAGTGACATCTGCGCCATGTTTCCTGTAGTTACCGCCTGCTAAAAACTTTCCGTTGGCTAAGGCTTTAACATTAATTACACATCTAGTGTATTTGTCGCATTTTATTGCAACTTACGTACTGAGCTCTGTACTACTGTGAATCATTTACCCTGATATCGAGGAACACTTTCCAGGTGATCCATGGTGGCATATGAATATGGCAAAACAAATAATGGCGTTCAACGTGCCGATGGCCATACTTTTACTCCAAAGGCAAGCAGGCAAAAATGGAACGCTTCCAAGTCATGGACCGTCATCCGTTTTTGAATTACTCATTTTTGAGTACGAACAATGGTCATTGGCATGTAAAAGATATTCTTCACTTTACTGTTTACGAACAATGCCATCGACACTCCGATATTTAAAAGGCCGTGAATATGCATGAACAACACGCATTTATCCAGTACTAGGTGCAACCCCTACCTCAGTGTTTACTGTCTGTGTTTCGCGTATCACTATCGGACGTTATAATGCAGTTGATCCATTGGATAGGTGACACTTTAGAATCAGCTGAAGGAAAAGTAAAAAAAAAACACTCCATAGCTCAAGAAACAAAAAAAGAAAGAAAAAGAAACAGGATACTTAAGATCGGACAATATACTGAGATCATTACCACAGGCCAGATATATCCCAAACAGTAGGCCCTCACATCCTAATGGCACTGCACCAGGTATCAAGCTGGAGCGGGTTCCCCAACAGCATGGAAAACAGAGGTAAATGCGGCTCATGTGAAATGGGGTTTCTTGGAAAGGCCCCAGCCCACGAATGGAGACCGTGCAACAGGCGTCAGCCGCCGACATACCGCCACAGGATAGGCGACATGGGAGCCAAGGAGTGGCGCAGCCGTACAACGCACGAAGGTGGGCCGGCCTTGCAGGCGGAGGGGGAGACGTCGGACGAAGTCTGGTGCCACAAGGGAGCCAACAGCAGGGCAGTCAGTGTCATCGAGCGTGGGAGCCGGTCGGACGGCAACAGTGGCCGATGCCTAGGAGTGCGAGACCAGGATGGTGGTGCACAGCTGGCTTGGTGCGAGGCGTGACGGCGCACCAGGTACACGCGACGTCGGCCGGCAGCGGGACGGCCCCATGAGATGAGCAGCAGAGCGAGACGGCCCGCCCGACGCGTTGGCACACGAGTCTCGACGCGACGGTCCGGTGCGCTGCTCGACGGAACTAAACCACTGGCATTCGTTGGCATCCGCTGGCAGCTTGAACCTCCGTTGGCATCGACGGCAGGAATCAAGCGTTACTCTCTCAGAGCGGGCCAGCAAGGCACTTGTAGGCCGGTCATAGCGACTCCGCCTACAGGAAGCCCTACACAGAGAGCACCGCCACATGACGAGCGTCGTGGGTACGAGAGGTATGGGGGCTGGGACGCCTGAAGGGTTCACATCGGTATCTCTGTGCCAGCTGGGGAATTGATCAGCCATCAGCTGAACAGAGACGTCGTTAGGGTCCTAAAACAACGGTCATAGAGTGAGCGTTTTGCGTCTTTCAAATGGCCTTGAGGCAGAGGTGTGGTTCCCTGTTCCCTAGGGTGGGTTCCATTCCCCTCGCCAAACTTGGGCTACAGTTTCTAAAACTTTGAGAATAAAGTGTGCCAAATTCTGAGATAATCCTGTTTGTTTGCTATTTTGAGAGCATTTTGTGTCATTTCGCCTCCCCCTCCCCAATTAATTTTGGAAAACAACGCCCTGCCTTGAGACGATGAGAGAGCATCAATGACTGTTCGGAGCTCTTGGCACCAAACACAGCGGTCTCATTGGCTACCGATAGGGATTGTGCAAGTCAGCGGGTCTGTTGCTGAAATTGGGATAGGTCCAGAAACGCAGAGCGTTAGGAATGCAACCTCACTTGAGGCACCCTGTAACAGTGATCGAACTGATCTAGAGGTTTCTGGATCTAACCTGGTACAGCTACGAGTTGGACGGCCCTGGTGGTGGTAGTGAGCAGAGAACCGCGGTATGGAAAAAGGAGTCCAAGACTCGCAGCGGTGGTGAAGGAGCTCTGTCGGTGAAAAAGTTTGGTCTCCGGAACATACTCCTCGTACCTTTAATCAGCAGTGCCCTAGAATTGCCGACTTTTGGTGTAAAACGAACACCCTATGAGGATTTTTTCACTTCTTTTCCCCATATTTTATGTGAATTTTTCACTCCTGCCTGACATTGTCTAATCGCACATGCCAAACCCCTATTTCCCTTTCTGAGGTTTTCGGATGTCATCCAAACCGAGCTCACTTGAAACCACCAAGCATAAACGAGGCTCCGCAGAACCTGGAAACCTATGTCTATGTCTTGCCTCACCTACATCTGAATCATGTCTATGTATGCAAAGAGCAAGGGCGCCAGTACCTCCAAGCCCAGGAACCCCAGCGACCCCAGCCGCTTGCACGTATTAAGTTTGGTTTATTCACAAAATGCATCAAAATGTGCAGCTGTGCGTCAACTGCAAGGTTTTCACGCATCCCCTATTTTTTGGTCTTACCACCACACCACGAAAGCAGAGCCTTGTGCAAACTCCACGTATTTACTCCACGTAACTTACTCCACGTATGTCTTTCTTCCCGGGGAAACTTGACCACTAAATTTCATCATTCCGGAGATGCATGAGTGAAAAGTTCAAGAAATGTCTTCTAAATTGAACTTATAAGATGGATATCACCATATAAGCACTTACATTAACATATTTCAAGTCAACTCAGCTGATTTAAAAAAAATTCCGAGAAAGTATGAGTCTTTATATTTATTTAGCTACTTTTTTATCCTCTGAATCATGCCAGTGTGATACCACTTCATTCTTCTTTCCTTTTCGACTGTGTTTAAAGGTACCATATGCTGCTTACAATTTTGACCAATTTCTCTGCAAGATGCTCCAACTGCAAACTTGTATGTATTTCATATATACGTTGGATTGGTTTGCCAGCCGCCCAAACATGTTTGATATGCACCCAAGGGTGAACAATTCACGGGGAATGAAGGAGACAATTTGAAGCACGGAACTTATTTTTGCCGCCATTTTCGCCTTATTAGACCTTCGGTTAACTGCTTTCTTGGTTCATGGCGGTGCTCAATAATGATAAATTCAGGCCTTTCGAGTGTCTGACTCACCAGGCTACCTGGCAAGGCTATTCTAACGCTGCCATCTAGGGCTTTGGGACAGACCTGACGCAGCTAATACAGAAGTGTTTGATGGCGAAATTCAGGAAGAAGCCAGTAAGTCTCATGTGGACCAAGTAATTGCTTACCTTACCTGCTCCCATTACATGATTGGTAACCAGAGCAAGCCATTTTCTGGTTTAATGCATCGAGTTTTGCCATAAGACAAATTGTGATGGCACAAGGCATGCAATGGGCTTATTTTGTTCCATATTCTTGGTAATTTGCCCAAAATTTCTTAAAGTGGTCCCTCATGGCTGCTTTAACCAGATGTTTTCTATACTTGGCATTGTTTGCTGATCGGCAAATGACTGTGCTGTATATA